CAGTGCTGGGTGGCGCTTAGATCTGGCCTCCGGGCGCTGGGCCTGGCCGTTGGTGGCCCCGCAGTGCTGGGTGGCGCTTAGATCTGGCCTCCGGGCACTGGGACTGGCCATTGGTGGCACGGCGCTTAGATCTGTCCGCTGGGGGTTGGGTGTGGCCATTGGTGGCCCCCAGGAAGACATCTGCGACCCTCTTGGGCGGGTCACGACGTAGCGGTTGCACACCACTGATTTAGATGATGGCATAGAGAGTAAGTTTGCAGATGCTCCCAAGCTGGGAGGGGTGGCGAGTGCTCTGGAGGACAGAGTCATCGTTCAAAATGATCTGGACAAACTGGAGCAATGGTCTGAGGTCAATAGGATGAAGTTGAATAAGGACAAATGCAAAGTGCTCTACTTAGGAAGGAACAATCAGTTTCACACACACAGAACGGGAAGTGACTGGCTAGGAAGGAGCATGGCGGAAAGGGATCTAGGGGTCAGAGTGGACCACAAGCTAAATATGAGTCAACAGTGTGACGCTGTTGCAAAAATGATTCTGGGCTGCATGAACAGCAGTGCTGTGAGCAAGACACATGAAGTCATTCTTCAAGAAGGATGTGGGGAGACTGGAGAGGGTCCAGAGAAGAGCAACAAGAACGATGAAAGGTCGAGAGAACACGAGCTAGGAGGGGAGGCTGAAGGAATTGGGCTTGTTTGGTTCAGAAAGGAGAAGACTGAGAGGGGACATGAGAGCGGTTTTCAAGTAGCTAAAAGGGAGTCCCATGGAGGAGGGAGACAAATTGTTCCCCTTGGCCTCTGAGGACAGGACAAGAAGCAATGGGCTTAAATTACAGCAAGAGAGGTTTAGGTGGGACATTAGGAAAAACTTCCTGCCTGTCAGGGGGTCAAATGCTGGGATCAATTGCCCAGGGAGGTTGTGGAATCCCCGTCACTGGAGATAGTTAAAAGCGAGTTAGCCAGACACCTGCCGGGGATAGTCCAGCTGGTGCTGGGGCCTGCTGGGATAGGGAACCGGACTCAATGATCGTTTGCGGTCCGTTCCGGTTCTAGTGTTCTATGGTACTATGACTTCTTATTCCGACTCTTTAGCCTGGTTGTCTGAGGAGCAAGGGAAGTGGGGGGGAGAGTGCTTGATTTTGAAAGAAGCGCTGTGTGGATGCTCCTGACGTAGCTCAATTTGTGTCACTTATTTCGAGTTCAGCCCTGCTGTGTAGACGCACCCTAAGAGACCCAGCGAATGCTACCGTGGCTAAACAGCAGAGTAAGAGGCAGTTAGAGGCAAAACGGCATCCTTTAAAGTTGGAAGTCGAATGCTTGCAAGGAGAATAGAAAGGAGCCTAAACTCTGTCAAGACAAGTGTAAAAGTCAAGTCAAGTAGGCCAAGAAAGAGGCTGAAGAGGCGTGGGAGGGCTGGCTGCAGGGGCTGTGAGAGGGGGCAGAGAGCTGGCCAGGGGAGGCGGGAATGGGGCTGCTGGAGCCCACGCCCCGCAACCAGCACCTCAGGGCACTGTTTTGAGTGTCGGGAGCTGGGTGGCAGCCAGCCAGGCGGGCGTGCCGGGCAGAAGGCAAAGGGAGGAGTGGGAGGCTGATCTGTCCCCAGGGGCAGCCGGACTGCTGGTCTCACCCAGCGCAGCCCCCCACATGATGGCCTGGCTCCCTCGGACATCTGTTGGGGTTTTCTGGGCTGGAGCCCTGTGACTGCGGCTGGCTCTGCCCGGGGACTGGCATGGGGACCCCACCCCAGGTGGCTGGGTACCCGCGGGGCGACAGTCCAGGACAGAGCAGCACCTCTGCTGGTGTCATGCGCTCCCAGCTTTCCCCCAGGGCGTCCTCTGTCCCCCAGGTGCCTTGGACCCACCGCGCCCTGTTCTGTCGGAAGGGGGCTTGGAACAGGCCCCAGAGCCGGGGCTGCAGGAGGGGCCTGTCCGCACAGTCACTTGGGGTCCCGTGCAGCGGGGCCTGTCTCACTTCAGAGCTGGGTGGGATTGGGAGCCTGAGGAGTGGGGGGAAGGGCAGCCAGGCACTTGAAGATGTTGGCTTTTATTGACACTGTTAAATGCAAACTCCTTGTGAGACTTTCCAGCTCCCAGCCGGCTGAGAGCCCGGCCCCGGCCCCGGCCCCGGCCCCGCTCCT